CATTATTTATTCCCATTATTTATTCCCATTATTTATTCCCATTATTTAGTCTATTTTAGTCGCGAACACAAAAAGCTATTAGATTATATCACTTAGCAAACGCTGCTTGCTTTCAGGATCATTGACAGAAGGGATGAGAATTAGCTGTAGTTGAATTGTGCTACTTTTTCAATCTCACCATTCCATTGAAAATATGAGAAGAAAGCTATCAAAAACAGAGACTGATCACTGTGTTGTTACAGCTAGGGCTCGTCATAAACGGAAACGACATTTGTTTCACTTTTGTATGTCGTATACATTTTCGACAAAATTTTAGTTTCGCATTATTGGGATTTAATAGATTTCTCTCCCGATAAGATTTTTAATTGTACAAAGCTTGGAAACCATGGTTTGATACGTTTTAAGAATTTCTATGTTTCCACTTTATTATTTTGTTATTATTTGATAAGACCTCTTGCCATGACTGGGAGTGTCAATATGGCAATGACAATGTCAGCATCAACTTGAAAACTGTTTAATTTACGTTGTTCAAGTTTTTAAACAAGGTCCACTTTCTTATTAGATCCTTATTGAAATCGACGCTTTCTTTATATTTGACTCTACATTCATTGTGTATTCTTTCCTACACTCTGCGGCAATCACCGTCTGGAAGTAAAGGAGTTATCATCTACGTCGAAGTTCCTCCATAATGAATCGTCAAAGTTTTGCTGTTTGTAAAGTCTTATAACAAATTGAAATGTGCTAAATACAAAGCAGAAAAGAAAAAAAAGTATAATAATTGTGATTGCTACAGAACTGAATTTGTAGATAGCGAACGTGAATATGTAGACAATAAGTTGTTCGCTTCGTTGTTCTGATCAGACAAGCAGCAAATGAGTTATACGGAGACGTGGGAAACTGACAATACGTAAAAACCTAAAACGTTATATTTGTCTATCCCTGTGAAGATAAAGGGAATCTTTGGATTCCACTTGATCGGGAAAGTGAAGTTACTTGCTAAATTGTGATTCCGGTGTAATGCCAGTCCGAATTTTCCCCATATTTCTCCTAGAAAATAAAGTATTGCCGAGTTGTTATGATAGAAGATACGTAAACGAACATTCTTTTATCGATGACTTTTGTTCGTTATTCCTTTCCTCGTTTTTGAAATCGTTGTTTAGCAGACGTTGCCTCTTAGTTCAACGTACAGTGTTTCAAACCCAGAAGAATTGAAGTGAATTGATTTTGAGATTCGAGGACTAATGTTTCTTGGATAAAGATTTCAGACGTAATCTTACTTGGCAAGTCAAGCCAGGCATCATCGTTAGGTTGTTTTTCTTATCGCTGCCCCTTTTTTTGTTGAATATTTATCCCTCAACTGAACAACAAAACGTAAGCAGCCTATCTTTTACTAATATTTCTTGAAAGCATAGTAACTCATATTTACTGAAAATTCGTTGAAAGCATATTGAAGGCTCGGTATTTTTGCGAGCCATCACAGATGTAATTTTGCTGATAATTTACCCAACAATATTAAAGTTACGCTTTTTTCTTAAATTTTGTACAAGAAAAACTTTACAACTGCAGAAAGAGAAGTTGGTTGCCTTTATACATTGTTAGCAAAGCTTGAAGGGGTAGGTACGGGAAAAACTTAACAACTGCAGAAAGAGAAGTTGGTTGCATTGTACATTGTTAGCAAAGCTTGAAGGGGTTGGCTGCTGTTTGTACTGGAATTGGAAAAGACGTTTTGAGCTCTAAGTAGTTTTTGAGATCACCAATCTTCTTTCTTGTTTGTGATTGGGATTCTTCACTCAGTGCAAATAACTTTTCTAATGATATATTGCCTTGCCTCGCGATGAAAAAATTATTTAATCAGAACCTTCAAAGTGCAAATGCACCAAAGAGGAACAACAATGGCCATGGTGGGGGGAAGAATGGAAGAAATTACGAAAAACAACCCGACAGCAGGCTAGATTTTTCGGTTAAGGCGTCCGTAGCGTTGGTCCTGAAAGGTACAGATTTTGAAAAGACTACATTTACTTATTAAAAGCCAGTAAGTTCAAGAAACAGTTATAACGACAAATCGAGCCTGATAAGGGAATAAGCAGGTAGCCAACAGACCTGGTAGAATTAAAAAAAATAATTAAGAAGTGAGAAGCTCAAGAACACGTTGTAAACGAGATTCTAGTGTCTGATCATTCAAATGAAAGCTATTGAGCTGTAATTTCGTGTAGTACATATGGGTTATTGACAAAGCGCGAGGGCAAGATGGCTGGATATTGATCGAGGCCAATATCTAGCCATCTTGATCGAACAAGCTTGGTCAATAAAAGATTGTGGCATAAAGAAAACCAATTTCTTGCGGGACACAGCGGGTAATCCCGAGCGGGCACGATAGTCCCATCTTGCCCACTTGGGCGGTAGCCAATAACAGCCCAGGATTTGGCTCATCCTTCCTTATAATAGTGTTAAGTATTGTACAATGCGTTTTTGATTTTAAAGTCTGTAAACGACAAAACTGTAGTTCGTGACCTTACAATGGAAGCCTAGTTTGTGACCATTCAGATGAAACTTAAACAGCTTCGTGTAATGCTGTTCCATAGCAGTATCGATTATTGTTCAAAACACGTGTCATACCATGCACTCAGAAAGAAACGCTATGCGTTCTGTTGAAAAAGAACATTCGTTCTACCTGGCACGCCATATAGTCCCTAGAGGATTGCCAAATGACGAAATCTAGCCGCCATTTTGAATTGCATAACAATGTTAACAGATGGCAAAAGCGTCAATTCAACGTTCTCACGTTTTTTTTTAAGCAAATTATAACACAAAACACATATCCCCCTAAGTAAAGGTTGAAATACAAATTCGAACAGATTAGATAATGGAAGCTGCTTTTACTCTTAAGCTTGGAAAAGAAGCCTCCAAGTAAGAAAAGTCATCAAAATAGTTTAGTTAATAGTTAGATAGGAAAGTGCTGTGTCTATTAACAAATAATGAAATAATAGTTGATTTAAGGTCATAACTTACTTCCATGATTTAATCTGGCTTTGCATGCTAGTTTCTGTTATAAAACGCAGAGTAATTGAGGTTCTTTGAAAGACAACTAAGCTTCCACTCAAAAACAGTAATCCTGGGCCAAACGTTATGAAAACCTTAGTTCTTGAATCGTACTTGTACATGTGTTCTTGAAAATGACAAATGGAAAGCGTTTTAAAACTTGTTCGAGTAAACAACATCACAACTTTTTAACCGTGCATAAATTATGTCGGTAATTTATTCATTTTAAACAAAGTAGAAATGGTACAACTGTACAAAACAGCTCCCATACGTGACATTGCACCAGAGAAGTGTATGAAGTGAAAGTTGATATATTCATCGAATCAACTTAGAATAACCCGCTTCAAGATGAATGCGGACTTAACACAGGCGATGTAAGCGAGAATGATGTGGTATCAAGGGTAGCCAATCAATTTAAAGTTGGGTGAGGAGTTAAAAATTTCACCGTCTTTTAGAATTACTACGATTTAGATATCAAATCTTGCACTGAAAATGCTTAAGACGCAACAGGATTTACTCTCCCTGCTATAGACATGTGACACAACGACAAGGCATAACGGTCTCATTAGTCAGTCCGCACATGCACCTAATGATCTCCTCTGTGTGTCCAGCCAGCAGGCAATGATAGGCCTAATTAATCACCTTTGTCAAGCCTTTAATTAGCTCTCGTGTTCTGAAAGCCACTCACATGATTTACCGCTAAAGGAAGAACTTTCCAGACCCGTGTAGGAGATTCCAGTTACAGCACTCCTCAATCGTATCTAGGTACGTACAGATGCACCTGCCGTGAGAGCAAACACTTGCTTGAAAATTCGTCAGATTGCATGAAAACACCCATAGTAGTACGCAGGATACTTAGTTTTCTGGTCACGTACGCTGCAAAAATACTTCAAAACGTCCGTAAGTGTTGATTATTTTTCGTGTCCTATCTAGTTCGTGAAACGGATGCACGAAGAATTAACACCAATTACTTGTCTTGTCACCGTATTTTCTCGTTGTGTTGTTATTCGGTACAATAACTGGCCACCTTCGCCCTAAAAGAATTAGGCAATGAAATCTTGTGGAGTTTGAAGCTGTAGGCACTCCAAATTTATCTGCAACTGCAACTGAAAGAGTCAACGAAAAGCCATGTAAAATTGTTGTACAGGACACTAATTTGGATCCTAAATTGTATTATCATTTGGCTCCCGTGAGCTTATGTCTTCTCCTCAAGTCGGACAATAAGAGATGTTTTCTTCGCGACAGAAAGTTTATTAGGTCTTAACGCTTTTAATCTTAACGGTGTTCGCTGATTTGGAAGAGTGGCTAATTTGAAATAAATTTTTAGACTGAAATATTGCTTCGAATAGGCACCCGACTGTGTTTTTGGCCTACTTCTGAAAGTCAACCTTAGTTATCATGTTTTAATAAGTCGATTGAGCATAAACCACAATGACAGATTATAGTTTATTGATATGCAATTGAATTGATACGCAATTGATGATAGTTTCTAACCGTTCGAATTAAAAAATAAAGTACTTAGTTCTAATATAAGGCAGGTTAATATTCAGTTATTTTAACAAACAGAAATATTTTTCTGGACTGTCTGAGGACTAAAACTCCCGACATACTCAGGTTTTTGTGAAGCACGCTGCTTTCTCAGTCTGGCGTTGCCTAATTCAGTCAAACGTTTGTACGTAGTAACCTAAAGTAAAGTTAATTTTCGTTGTAGATTGCTGAATTAAACCTACGCATGCGTTGAAAAGGACTATTGAAGACGTCGAACCTATCGCTGAGATACAGACGCGATCAGATTACCGAAGTGTGCCGGGAGCAGGGTATTTAATGCCGTTTTGAGCTAATATAAACATAAAGATCATGACCTTAGTGGCCTACAGTTTATGATTTTCATAGAAAAGCATTGACAAATATGCCACATAAAATCAACTTGGCTGTCGAACTGACGTCGTCGAACTATTACCAATGCAATTGACGTTAATGGAGTGATTAGATGAGGATGTGTAAAGCACTGTCGTTGACATGTCAAACTCGATCCACTGAAGGGTCGGTGGCCATTGTACACAGGGAATCTTTGTTCTCATTATGTTTTGGTAATTACTGATCAGAAAACAATTGGCGAGCCGCAGAAGTAGTAAGCGTGTCGCCTCTTGAGTGAGGAGTACGATTTGAAAGGATTTAGACTGAAGTGCTGCAAATACACGTCTAGCTTTCACCGCACGGGGCTCCCAGGTGGGTGAAATAGATAACCAGTCTAGTTTACAATCGAAATTGCACAAGGAAAAAACTCATATTGCAGGGTATTGGGACTTTTTTGGCTTTTAGGATGTAACTTGCAAACAAAACAGGTCTTTCATTACAATAAACTAGCACCCTACACTAGTTAATTGTTTTGAAAGTTGAGCGGGCGAGACTAGAAGAAAAAAGAATTTATTTCACTTCTTCTGTATGTTTTGTGAATTTAAGCGTCTGGTCTGACGTCAATACGGTCTTTTACTCTCAGTTAAAGAAACCTATCCATTTTTAAATTCACAGCTTAACTCCAGTTATTTTGTGCTGTACAACTTTCAATTGACTATCAAAACTCCATCGTTGCACTAGAGACACTGTGCTGCTGTCTTAGATGAGATCTTTCACGGACTTGAGGGATCGCTTTGTCTTTAATACCAATCATATAATTCCATGAGCAGTTAGATAGATAATAGACTAAAGAACCGCTTTTCAGGGCTAATTCGAAACTGTTTCTATCCCTACAGGCGTTTTAAAAATGTTGCTTTCCGTTTCCAAAGTCGTGGTAGGGATTTTGCTGATCGTCATTGTCACGGCTAAACAAAAAAGCAGACAATATTGGCCAAGACCAACTTCAGATTGTGAAGTGCGAAAAGGCTTCCTCCAGATGCAAAGTGACGGGTGCAAGTTCAAAATTTCAACTTCTGGTTGTAGCGGCAAATGCTTGTCGTCGGCGAAACCTTTCAGCCATAGAATTGGATTTGCTTCAAGTTGCTCGTGCTGTGCACCCATCGAAGCTACTATCAAAGAAAAATCAGTGAACTGCCACGGAGTAATAAAAGTGATTCGCTACCCAGAAGCAAAGAAATGCGCCTGCAGACCGTGTTTAAACGGCTGACATTATATATCCGTCGTGCGAAGTTTTGAAGTGAAGCAAAGAGTTTTCGTCTTGTAAAGAGAATGGTGCTGACGTCGCGACTTGCGTGGATTTAAAAACATCAACCGAGTACTAGCTCAGTAATATTGGAGTGGGATTAGAGAAGAAGCCGTTAAAAAAAAATATATATATATATATATTTAGAGTTTGGAAAAGTTTCGAAGGGCTCTTGAAAAAGACGTGAATATCGCCGAGCAATAATTAGACTTAAGGTGGAAGTTAACTTAAGACAGTTTATTGTTGCGTTACGTGGTTTGTAATATACCAGGCCGTCTATTAATTTTGTGGTTTTACTTTTGTACCCAACTGCATGCAGGTAACATTGGGTTTCTTCACAGTACATGATAACGTGTTATCAGGGGCAGATAACGTTGTATGATTGAAATTTATATATCATGCAAAGAGCAGCTCATTATTGCGCAACAGCGTGCAATCTTCTTGGAAGCCGGTTTCGCAGGGAAGCACGATTAACTGAAAACATGGTAAGAAAAATCGTTACGGTCAATTTTTAATATCAAATAGGTTGATGTCGTTAAGAATATTTGCGAGCTATAGAGCTATGCATTGATCTTGAGATGTTTTTCATTGCAAAAGGCAATTAAAATTAACATGAATTAGACCGATGTTGCCTACGGCGTGTTGCGGTTCCATGAGCAATTTACGTTTAGTTAATTTTGTTCTTTTTCGCAGACATCAAATGTCGTTTGTTGAAACAAAAAGGCAAAGCATAATAACAAACCCTATGGTCAACGCTAGGTCACTTAGAGGTTATAAAACAGCGAAACCAACGGCGTATAAACTGTGTGCATAAAGGGAGGTGATTATATGTAAAAGGGATTACCTGTGTATAGATTTAAACGGCTTTGGACACTTCTAAATATTGTAAATCAATTTCTCTTATTAAGTCTAAGTAATAAGAAACATAACACTAGTGTAAATATTTTCCATAGAACTGATCCCAGTTCTTCATGTACAGAGGCAGTCGGCTTATATGACGCTGCAAACTGATAAATAGTCCCGAATGTAGGCGGAAGACTAATTGTTCATTCACAATTTATGATGACTGAAACACAATATGAATAATGGATTTAAATAGCAACCTAAAGGTTGTAAGCAAGATAACGTATATATAAGACCTAAACAGTATGAAGTATCACGCAAGTTGAAAAGAACAAAAAAAATAAAGCACGTAATTTGTTTAAACTGTACTGTATCACGTTCACGGTTTGGATGGTCACAAAGCATGAATTTACCTTTCAATTTCTAGTTGCTGTTTAGCAAATGCACATTTACTAGAAACATTTTTACTCACCACACCCAATCCGCCCTAGCGTCAATTACCAGACGTGGTTTTCGACACCATATATCAAATAGAAAAGACAGGTGATGAAAAATGGAATCCGGAAGCAATCTGACAGTCCGGAAACAATCTGGCCTTTGTTTAAAATATTTTCAAAACATGTAATATTTGCGATTATTTGTCTTCGCCCTAAAGATTATTAAATAATCGAAAATCCTCGTTATTTCCTGAGTTTTAAAAGTCTTCTTCCAACGTTCTCTATTTTGTTAAAATGGGTGTTTTGTTTTTTTTTGCTGAAATGTAGAGAAACGCGACAATCTGTACCAATGTTGGAGGTCCACATTGCAGATATTGGTGATAGCATTTCAGGATTTGTTTAATTTGTTTCCTCGGCCACATTTTTAAGTCATCTTTGATCTCTTACTGAACAGAGGCTTGGCAATTTGAATTAATTTTACAATCATGTAATCTCATCCTCATGTCACCCACCCTCATGTTACTCAAAATTGTGGGCAAACGGTTGTGGTTACAATGACCCTTCAAGAATTTCTGATTCCACTAAGTTTGCAGTAGACCTCAGTCAATTTAGGAATTCTATTTTTCATTCATTCTTTAGAAACCCCACCTCTGTTGGTTCTCAGGCTTAGGGGCATTGCTGGTGCACCTTAATTGTTCCGGGAGACATTGGGCTAGCTTTGAAACAGAACTTTAGGATAGATTATGTATAAAATAACTAAGGTGATTCCCGTATTATGATAGGTCAATAGTTATTAAGCATTAAGGTACATTTAAGCTGTCAGAATAGATACGTTGGTTACTTTACTTCGAATATTTTCATCAAAATTAATTGCAGAACGAAATATATGACAAATGTAGAAAGAAAATAACAAATCCAAATTGAACACAAACGTCAAGAGCCACTTACCATTGTTCACCTTAACAATTGCTAACCAAGTTGGCGTCTCCACCAAGTCTTCACCTTGCATTTAATAGCTCTCAAGAGTTGATCTAAGTGTAAAAGAACATTCACGACTCAGTGGACTGAAAAACGATTTTGCAAACGGCATATCGGCTTCTTCAGATATGTTTTACTTTCAAGACTGAAATTTCTTATGCATTCTTCCACATGACGGTCATCAACTGACAACTCATTCAAGCAAAACCATTTTTTCCTATCTAAAGCTGAAACTTCTACTCTAGAAATTTACAACTGGTACCTGTCAAAGGCTTGTTCAGACGAAATGCTATCTTTGCAAGGGGAGATCAATGTTTGATTTGGAGAGGAAAGAAACTACAGTGCATGACGTTAGTGCATTCCTGTGGCCTGATCGATCCATCTGCCTGGAGACGGCGGCTTGGTATAATTAACGTTACCAGTGTTTTGATCTGTTAATTATCGCTTCGAAATCTGGCACTTGAAGTCTTGCACCAAGTCGGAAATCTCTGTGCTAGGTATTCTGTATACATCGGTAGGGATTCGTGATGTTTTTGGCGCTCCTGCTTGGTTATCAGACTCGAACTCCAGTCAAAATAAAAAGGGCATAGAACTTCGTCCGGCAGATTTTCTCTCCTTGCGATTTTTCAGTGTTGATCAAGCTCCAAAATACAACCCCCTAGAGTTGCAAAATCATTGTAAGTTGTTTCTTGCAATTGTCACGAATGCGAACCACCAAAATGCGTTAATTCCGCTATCGGTCATGTTTATATCCCATTTCACTGTCAGAGAAGTAACTTGCCATACATCTGGAGAAGAACTTTACGGTTTGACCACGATTTCGGTTGAGACAAAACTCCTTCAGTATTCTGGTGTTACGATCCTCAGTACATTCCCGAAAGGTCTTGTAAATGCGAGCTTGCAAATACCTCCTTGGACGAATTCCTTACATTGCGTCAACCCATTTGATCTGAATTCTCGACATGTTTTCCAAACAAAAGAAGATACCTCAACTTCACTTGCCAATAATAGAAGTAAATCATTGGAAATGATTTTCCAATTTGTGTCCAGTTGAGCATCTAATCATGATAATTGCCAAGGCCGTGGCCATGCCTTGGGATTCCCTTGTTCGCTGAGTGCATGGTATGAAAACAAACCAGTTAAGGAACGGTTAAAGGTGTGGGTTTGCTCATGACTGCATATGTAACTGCAGATTAAGCTACCCGAGCTACTTCAATGACCATAAAATTAGTTTTGACTAGGGTCATGAAAGGGGCAGGGTAACTCAGGCGTTCTTTTAAGTAGCGGACGTTCAGGAGGTTCACTGAGATGCATGGTGGCCAAAACTGGAGGTATGTTGGGCTGCTTTAGCAAAATAAGTCGCTTTATTCTTTGCTTTACTTTCTTCAAATGTGCCCATTGTAACGAAAGCAAAAAACAGAGAAAAATCCAAAGAATATACAACTTATAATCCAGGGTTCATAGACATTTGAAATGTTTTAGTTTCCTCACTTTATTTGCATCAGTTCAGGAGACACAAGCCGTTTATAGGCTCACCAAGGTTCGTATATAGAAGCACCAAGGGCAGGCGAGAGAATTTGACAATAAATCAAATTACCTATTTAACGAAATAACTTTAAGGTAGCTAAATGTGGCCTCATTAAGGCAAAAGCCTTGTTTTCGAAAGTTGGCCGTGTTATGTCATTAACCAAATTTGTAACCCGGCGCACATGGAATGTATTGACAAGATGTTTGGATTTCAGAAAAGAATAACAACAAATGCCGATGACAATGTACCCAAATTGACTGAATTCATGAAGCCTTTTGCGTTTTCCATTAGCATGGTCTACGTAAGGATACTTCTCGAAGATTTATCGCTTTCTTATAAATAGCATTATGCAGATGCATTCATAACTTAGACTTATTGCAAGAAATCGGCAAACGTCCATATGTTACGCAGTTGTTTCGAAAAATACTCGTGATTATTAAACACTATATTACTTTAGTTAGGAGAACCATCTACATGTATAATGATTATCTATATCAGTGATACTGCTAGATGCACAAGATTAAAGTTAAATTTACAGCATAAAGTTTAGCTGTACTTTTGGTTGTACAACGTAATCAGTCATGGTTCTAAAGGGAAAATGAGATGCTTGCTCTAGGCAACCGATACAATTTGAAGATAATCATTTTGTCACAGGGCCAAAAGATTCAACAGTAGAGATCAAGGCTTCAGGATTGCAGTAAAACAGATACAGAGTAAGTTTTATGGAGAAAAAAATTAATTTCTACAAGTACATGCATGGTTTGTTTTCATCATTTCATAACTGCTGTTTAATTTTCCGTCGAAGTCACCATTTAAGGCCCATTGTGGAGTAGGCCACTTGTTGTTTTCTTGGCCTAAAAAGGAACTTCTTATCTATCCCTCCATTTCTCGCTTTGCAGGGGGTGAAGAGAAAGAATTTTGCCTTTAGGTGTTTGTTCCAGATTGGTAACCGAAAACAAAGTACCCGGTTTTCAATTGAAGTGGAAAATGTAAACAAGCTTTTCCTTGACTGAAGTGCTAAACAAAAGTTTATATAGTGAGTTCCCACGCTCTTAAAGCTCATTCGCTGCAACGTAATTAACATGTTAATTTAACAAGTGGCTCTGTGTGATCTCGTATACACAGAGCGCTTGTTAGCTACGTGTTTTGTCTACTGGATTTCAGTCATCGTAACAATTTCATGCTATCACAAGTGTATTAAAATACCTCCTAAACCTAAAAAAAAAAAAAAAAAAAAAAAAATAGAATGGGAGCTTCATTTTAATCTAATGAAAACCAATTTTCATCTGAGGCCTTGTCATTAGAACATCCATCAAATAATATTTGTAACTTGTTTAACGAACCAGGAATCAAGAGCATTATTTCCTGTGTCTATTCCCAAAATTTAAATGCGAGGCATTTATGTTAAAGTCACGAGAATAAAAAGGGCCAAGGTATTGCATATTATTCCATGTTGGTATTGGAAATGAGTAATTTGTAAGTGAAAATTTACGACGTTCTCGAGAAAAATAATAATTCGCTTTACAGCTTCAAGTGTTAACTGGACCAAAGACACCGAACAAGAAAAAGAAAATAAGGGAGTTAGTACGATTTCATTTACGACGTCTAGTTGGCGTAAATAATGGAGGCAGCTTTAATTTCCCGCTGCTTAATTGAACACTAGACGTTAAATTGAAAAACCAAGTTTCACCACACGGCAAACAAAGGACACAGATGAGTGGGAAATTGGAAAAAAAAAAAAAAAAGATATATATATATATATGCATACAAATACATAACTGTCCCTTCAGTTCGACTTCTAAGATTTTTAATTGTACAAAGCTTGGAAACCATGGTTTGATACGTTTTAAGAATTTCTATGTTTCCACTTTATTATTTTGTTATTATTTGATAAGACCTCTTGCCATGACTGGGAGTGTCAATATGGCAATGACAATGTCAGCATCAACTTGAAAACTGTTTAATTTACGTTGTTCAAGTTTTTAAACAAGGTCCACTTTCTTATTAGATCCTTATTGAAATCGACGCTTTCTTTATATTTGACTCTACATTCATTGTGTATTCTTTCCTACACTCTGCGGCAATCACCGTCTGGAAGTAAAGGAGTTATCATCTACGTCGAAGTTCCTCCATAATGAATCGTCAAAGTTTTGCTGTTTGTAAAGTCTTATAACAAATTGAAATGTGCTAAATACAAAGCAGAAAAGAAAAAAAAGTATAATAATTGTGATTGCTACAGAACTGAATTTGTAGATAGCGAACGTGAATATGTAGACAATAAGTTGTTCGCTTCGTTGTTCTGATCAGACAAGCAGCAAATGAGTTATACGGAGACGTGGGAAACTGACAATACGTAAAAACCTAAAACGTTATATTTGTCTATCCCTGTGAAGATAAAGGGAATCTTTGGATTCCACTTGATCGGGAAAGTGAAGTTACTTGCTAAATTGTGATTCCGGTGTAATGCCAGTCCGAATTTTCCCCATATTTCTCCTAGAAAATAAAGTATTGCCGAGTTGTTATGATAGAAGATACGTAAACGAACATTCTTTTATCGATGACTTTTGTTCGTTATTCCTTTCCTCGTTTTTGAAATCGTTGTTTAGCAGACGTTGCCTCTTAGTTCAACGTACAGTGTTTCAAACCCAGAAGAATTGAAGTGAATTGATTTTGAGATTCGAGGACTAATGTTTCTTGGATAAAGATTTCAGACGTAATCTTACTTGGCAAGTCAAGCCAGGCATCATCGTTAGGTTGTTTTTCTTATCGCTGCCCCTTTTTTTGTTGAATATTTATCCCTCAACTGAACAACAAAACGTAAGCAGCCTATCTTTTACTAATATTTCTTGAAAGCATAGTAACTCATATTTACTGAAAATTCGTTGAAAGCATATTGAAGGCTCGGTATTTTTGCGAGCCATCACAGATGTAATTTTGCTGATAATTTACCCAACAATATTAAAGTTACGCTTTTTTCTTAAATTTTGTACAAGAAAAACTTTACAACTGCAGAAAGAGAAGTTGGTTGCCTTTATACATTGTTAGCAAAGCTTGAAGGGGTAGGTACGGGAAAAACTTAACAACTGCAGAAAGAGAAGTTGGTTGCATTGTACATTGTTAGCAAAGCTTGAAGGGGTTGGCTGCTGTTTGTACTGGAATTGGAAAAGACGTTTTGAGCTCTAAGTAGTTTTTGAGATCACCAATCTTCTTTCTTGTTTGTGATTGGGATTCTTCACTCAGTGCAAATAACTTTTCTAATGATATATTGCCTTGCCTCGCGATGAAAAAATTATTTAATCAGAACCTTCAAAGTGCAAATGCACCAAAGAGGAACAACAATGGCCATGGTGGGGGGAAGAATGGAAGAAATTACGAAAAACAACCCGACAGCAGGCTAGATTTTTCGGTTAAGGCGTCCGTAGCGTTGGTCCTGAAAGGTACAGATTTTGAAAAGACTACATTTACTTATTAAAAGCCAGTAAGTTCAAGAAACAGTTATAACGACAAATCGAGCCTGATAAGGGAATAAGCAGGTAGCCAACAGACCTGGTAGAATTAAAAAAAATAATTAAGAAGTGAGAAGCTCAAGAACACGTTGTAAACGAGATTCTAGTGTCTGATCATTCAAATGAAAGCTATTGAGCTGTAATTTCGTGTAGTACATATGGGTTATTGACAAAGCGCGAGGGCAAGATGGCTGGATATTGATCGAGGCCAATATCTAGCCATCTTGATCGAACAAGCTTGGTCAATAAAAGATTGTGGCATAAAGAAAACCAATTTCTTGCGGGACACAGCGGGTAATCCCGAGCGGGCACGATAGTCCCATCTTGCCCACTTGGGCGGTAGCCAATAACAGCCCAGGATTTGGCTCATCCTTCCTTATAATAGTGTTAAGTATTGTACAATGCGTTTTTGATTTTAAAGTCTGTAAACGACAAAACTGTAGTTCGTGACCTTACAATGGAAGCCTAGTTTGTGACCATTCAGATGAAACTTAAACAGCTTCGTGTAATGCTGTTCCATAGCAGTATCGATTATTGTTCAAAACACGTGTCATACCATGCACTCAGAAAGAAACGCTATGCGTTCTGTTGAAAAAGAACATTCGTTCTACCTGGCACGCCATATAGTCCCTAGAGGATTGCCAAATGACGAAATCTAGCCGCCATTTTGAATTGCATAACAATGTTAACAGATGGCAAAAGCGTCAATTCAACGTTCTCACGTTTTTTTTTAAGCAAATTATAACACAAAACACATATCCCCCTAAGTAAAGGTTGAAATACAAATTCGAACAGATTAGATAATGGAAGCTGCTTTTACTCTTAAGCTTGGAAAAGAAGCCTCCAAGTAAGAAAAGTCATCAAAATAGTTTAGTTAATAGTTAGATAGGAAAGTGCTGTGTCTATTAACAAATAATGAAATAATAGTTGATTTAAGGTCATAACTTACTTCCATGATTTAATCTGGCTTTGCATGCTAGTTTCTGTTATAAAACGCAGAGTAATTGAGGTTCTTTGAAAGACAACTAAGCTTCCACTCAAAAACAGTAATCCTGGGCCAAACGTTATGAAAACCTTAGTTCTTGAATCGTACTTGTACATGTGTTCTTGAAAATGACAAATGGAAAGCGTTTTAAAACTTGTTCGAGTAAACAACATCACAACTTTTTAACCGTGCATAAATTATGTCGGTAATTTATTCATTTTAAACAAAGTAGAAATGGTACAACTGTACAAAACAGCTCCCATACGTGACATTGCACCAGAGAAGTGTATGAAGTGAAAGTTGATATATTCATCGAATCAACTTAGAATAACCCGCTTCAAGATGAATGCGGACTTAACACAGGCGATGTAAGCGAGAATGATGTGGTATCAAGGGTAGCCAATCAATTTAAAGTTGGGTGAGGAGTTAAAAATTTCACCGTCTTTTAGAATTACTACGATTTAGATATCAAATCTTGCACTGAAAATGCTTAAGACGCAACAGGATTTACTCTCCCTGCTATAGACATGTGACACAACGACAAGGCATAACGGTCTCATTAGTCAGTCCGCACATGCACCTAATGATCTCCTCTGTGTGTCCAGCCAGCAGGCAATGATAGGCCTAATTAATCACCTTTGTCAAGCCTTTAATTAGCTCTCGTGTTCTGAAAGCCACTCACATGATTTACCGCTAAAGGAAGAACTTTCCAGACCCGTGTAGGAGATTCCAGTTACAGCACTCCTCAATCGTATCTAGGTACGTACAGATGCACCTGCCGTGAGAGCAAACACTTGCTTGAAAATTCGTCAGATTGCATGAAAACACCCATAGTAGTACGCAGGATACTTAGTTTTCTGGTCACGTACGCTGCAAAAATACTTCAAAACGTCCGTAAGTGTTGATTATTTTTCGTGTCCTATCTAGTTCGTGAAACGGATGCACGAAGAATTAACACCAATTACTTGTCTTGTCACCGTATTTTCTCGTTGTGTTGTTATTCGGTACAATAACTGGCCACCTTCGCCCTAAAAGAATTAGGCAATGAAATCTTGTGGAGTTTGAAGCTGTAGGCACTCCAAATTTATCTGCAACTGCAACTGAAAGAGTCAACGAAAAGCCATGTAAAATTGTTGTACAGGACACTAATTTGGATCCTAAATTGTATTATCATTTGGCTCCCGTGAGCTTATGTCTTCTCCTCAAGTCGGACAATAAGAGATGTTTTCTTCGCGACAGAAAGTTTATTAGGTCTTAACGCTTTTAATCTTAACGGTGTTCGCTGATTTGGAAGAGTGGCTAATTTGAAATAAATTTTTAGACTGAAATATTGCTTCGAATAGGCACCCGACTGTGTTTTTGGCCTACTTCTGAAAGTCAACCTTAGTTATCATGTTTTAATAAGTCGATTGAGCATAAACCACAATGACAGATTATAGTTTATTGATATGCAATTGAATTGATACGCAATTGATGATAGTTTCTAACCGTTCGAATTAAAAAATAAAGTACTTAGTTCTAATATAAGGCAGGTTAATATTCAGTTATTTTAACAAACAGAAATATTTTTCTGGACTGTCTGAGGACTAAAACTCCCGACATACTCAGGTTTTTGTGAAGCACGCTGCTTTCTCAGTCTGGCGTTGCCTAATTCAGTCAAACGTTTGTACGTAGTAACCTAAAGTAAAGTTAATTTTCGTTGTAGATTGCTGAATTAAACCTACGCATGCGTTGAAAAGGACTATTGAAGACGTCGAACCTATCGCTGAGATACAGACGCGATCAGATTACCGAAGTGTGCCGGGAGCAGGGTATTTAATGCCGTTTTGAGCTAATATAAACATAAAGATCATGACCTTAGTGGCCTACAGTTTATGATTTTCATAGAAAAGCATTGACAAATATGCCACATAAAATCAACTTGGCTGTCGAACTGACGTCGTCGAACTATTACCAATGCAATTGACGTTAATGGAGTGATTAGATGAGGATGTGTAAAGCACTGTCGTTGACATGTCAAACTCGATCCACTGAAGGGTCGGTGGCCATTGTACACAGGGAATCTTTGTTCTCATTATGTTTTGGTAATTACTGATCAGAAAACAATTGGCGAGCCGCAGAAGTAGTAAGCGTGTCGCCTCTTGAGTGAGGAGTACGATTTGAAAGGATTTAGACTGAAGTGCTGCAAATACACGTCTAGCTTTCACCGCACGGGGCTCCCAGGTGGGTGAAATAGATAACCAGTCTAGTTTACAATCGAAATTGCACAAGGAAAAAACTCATATTGCAGGGTATTGGGACTTTTTTGGCTTTTAGGATGTAACTTGCAAACAAAACAGGTCTTTCATTACAATAAACTAGCACCCTACACTAGTTAATTGTTTTGAAAGTTGAGCGGGCGAGACTAGAAGAAAAAAGAATTTATTTCACTTCTTCTGTATGTTTTGTGAATTTAAGCGTCTGGTCTGACGTCAATACGGTCTTTTACTCTCAGTTAAAGAAACCTATCCATTTTTAAATTCACAGCTTAACTCCAGTTATTTTGTGCTGTACAACTTTCAATTGACTATCAAAACTCCATCGTTGCACTAGAGACACTGTGCTGCTGTCTTAGATGAGATCTTTCACGGACTTGAGGGATCGCTTTGTCTTTAATACCAATCATATAATTCCATGAGCAGTTAGATAGATAATAGACTAAAGAACCGCTTTTCAGGGCTAATTCGAAACTGTTTCTATCCCTACAGGCGTTTTAAAAATGTTGCTTTCCGTTTCCAAAGTCGTGGTAGGGATTTTGCTGATCGTCATTGTCACGGCTAAACAAAAAAGCAGACAATATTGGCCAAGACCAACTTCAGATTGTGAAGTGCGAAAAGGCTTCCTCCAGATGCAAAGTGACGGGTGCAAGTTCAAAATTTCAACTTCTGGTTGTAGCGGCAAATGCTTGTCGTCGGCGAAACCTTTCAGCCATAGAATTGGATTTGCTTCAAGTTGCTCGTGCTGTGCACCCATCGAAGCTACTATCAAAGAAAAATCAGTGAACTGCCACGGAGTAATAAAAGTGATTCGCTACCCAGAAGCAAAGAAATGCGCCTGCAGACCGTGTTTAAACGGCTGACATTATATATCCGTCGTGCGAAGTTTTGAAGTGAAGCAAAGAGTTTTCGTCTTGTAAAGAGAATGGTGCTGACGTCGCGACTTGCGTGGATTTAAAAACATCAACCGAGTACTAGCTCAGTAATATTGGAGTGGGATTAGAGAAGAAGCCGTTAAAAAAAAAAATATATATATATATATTTAGAGTTTGGAAAAGTTTCGAAGGGCTCTTGAAAAAGACGTGAATATCGCCGAGCAATAATTAGACTTAAGGTGGAAGTTAACTTAAGACAGTTTATTGTTGCGTTACGTGGTTTGTAATATACCAGGCCGTCTATTAATTTTGTGGTTTTACTTTTGTACCCAACTGCATGCAGGTAACATTGGGTTTCTTCACAGTACATGATAACGTGTTATCAGGGGCAGATAACGTTGTATGATTGAAATTTATATATCATGCAAAGAGCAGCTCATTATTGCGCAACAGCGTGCAATCTTCTTGGAAGCCGGTTTCGCAGGGAAGCACGATTAACTGAAAACATGGTAAGAAAAATCGTTACGGTCAATTTTTAATATCAAATAGGTTGATGTCGTTAAGAATATTTGCGAGCTATAGAGCTATGCATTGATCTTGAGATGTTTTTCATTGCAAAAGGCAATTAAAATTAACATGAATTAGACCGATGTTGCCTACGGCGTGTTGCGGTTCCATGAGCAATTTACGTTTAGTTAATTTTGTTCTTTTTCGCAGACATCAAATGTCGTTTGTTGAAACAAAAAGGCAAAGCATAATAACAAACCCTATGGTCAACGCTAGGTCACTTAGAGGTTATAAAACAGCGAAACCAACGGCGTATAAACTGTGTGCATAAAGGGAGGTGATTATATGTAAAAGGGATTACCTGTGTATAGATTTAAACGGCTTTGGACACTTCTAAATATTGTAAATCAATTTCTCTTATTAAGTCTAAGTAATAAGAAACATAACACTAGTGTAAATATTTTCCATAGAACTGATCCCAGTTCTTCATGTACAGAGGCAGTCGGCTTATATGACGCTGCAAACTGATAAATAGTCCCGAATGTAGGCGGAAGACTAATTGTTCATTCACAATTTATGATGACTGAAACACAATATGAATAATGGATTTAAATAGCAACCTAAAGGTTGTAAGCAAGATAACGTATATATAAGACCTAAACAGTATGAAGTATCACGCAAGTTGAAAAGAACAAAAAAAATAAAGCACGTAATTTGTTTAAACTGTACTGTATCACGTTCACGGTTTGGATGGTCACAAAGCATGAATTTACCTTTCAATTTCTAGTTGCTGTTTAGCAAATGCACATTTACTAGAAACATTTTTACTCACCACACCCAATCCGCCCTAGCGTCAATTACCAGACGTGGTTTTCGACACCATATATCAAATAGAAAAGACAGGTGATGAAAAATGGAATCCGGAAGCAATCTGACAGTCCGGAAACAATCTGGCCTTTGTTTAAAATATTTTCAAAACATGTAATATTTGCGATTATTTGTCTTCGCCCTAAAGATTATTAAATAATCGAAAATCCTCGTTATTTCCTGAGTTTTAAAAGTCTTCTTCCAACGTTCTCTATTTTGTTAAAATGGGTGTTTTGTTTTTTTTTGCTGAAATGTAGAGAAACGCGACAATCTGTACCAATGTTGGAGGTCCACATTGCAGATATTGGTGATAGCATTTCAGGATTTGTTTAATTTGTTTCCTCGGCCACATTTTTAAGTCATCTTTGATCTCTTACTGAACAGAGGCTTGGCAATTTGAATTAATTTTACAATCATGTAATCTCATCCTCATGTCACCCACCCTCATGTTACTCAAAATTGTGGGCAAACGGTTGTGGTTACAATGACCCTTCAAGAATTTCTGATTCCACTAAGTTTGCAGTAGACCTCAGTCAATTTAGGAATTCTATTTTTCATTCATTCTTTAGAAACCCCACCTCTGTTGGTTCTCAGGCTTAGGGGCATTGCTGGTGCACCTTAATTGTTCCGGGAGACATTGGGCTAGCTTTGAAACAGAACTTTAGGATAGATTATGTATAAAATAACTAAGGTGATTCCCGTATTATGATAGGTCAATAGTTATTAAGCATTAAGGTACATTTAAGCTGTCAGAATAGATACGTTGGTTACTTTACTTCGAATATTTTCATCAAAATTAATTGCAGAACGAAATATATGACAAATGTAGAAAGAAAATAACAAATCCAAATTGAACACAAACGTCAAGAGCCACTTACCATTGTTCACCTTAACAATTGCTAACCAAGTTGGCGTCTCCACCAAGTCTTCACCTTGCATTTAATAGCTCTCAAGAGTTGATCTAAGTGTAAAAGAACATTCACGACTCAGTGGACTGAAAAACGATTTTGCAAACGGCATATCGGCTTCTTCAGATATGTTTTACTTTCAAGACTGAAATTTCTTATGCATTCTTCCACATGACGGTCATCAACTGACAACTCATTCAAGCAAAACCATTTTTTCCTATCTAAAGCTGAAACTTCTACTCTAGAAATTTACAACTGGTACCTGTCAAAGGCTTGTTCAGACGAAATGCTATCTTTGCAAGGGGAGATCAATGTTTGATTTGGAGAGGAAAGAAACTACAGTGCATGACGTTAGTGCATTCCTGTGGCCTGATCGATCCATCTGCCTGGAGACGGCGGCTTGGTATAATTAACGTTACCAGTGTTTTGATCTGTTAATTATCGCTTCGAAATCTGGCACTTGAAGTCTTGCACCAAGTCGGAAATCTCTGTGCTAGGTATTCTGTATACATCGGTAGGGATTCGTGATGTTTTTGGCGCTCCTGCTTGGTTATCAGACTCGAACTCCAGTCAAAATAAAAAGGGCATAGAACTTCGTCCGGCAGATTTTCTCTCCTTGCGATTTTTCAGTGTTGATCAAGCTCCAAAATACAACCCCCTAGAGTTGCAAAATCATTGTAAGTTGTTTCTTGCAATTGTCACGAATGCGAACCACCAAAATGCGTTAATTCCGCTATCGGTCATGTTTATATCCCATTTCACTGTCAGAGAAGTAACTTGCCATACATCTGGAGAAGAACTTTACGGTTTGACCACGATTTCGGTTGAGACAAAACTCCTTCAGTATTCTGGTGTTACGATCCTCAGTACATTCCCGAAAGGTCTTGTAAATGCGAGCTTGCAAATACCTCCTTGGACGAATTCCTTACATTGCGTCAACCCATTTGATCTGAATTCTCGACATGTTTTCCAAACAAAAGAAGATACCTCAACTTCACTTGCCAATAATAGAAGTAAATCATTGGAAATGATTTTCCAATTTGTGTCCAGTTGAGCATCTAATCATGATAATTGCCAAGGCCGTGGCCATGCCTTGGGATTCCCTTGTTCGCTGAGTGCATGGTATGAAAACAAACCAGTTAAGGAACGGTTAAAGGTGTGGGTTTGCTCATGACTGCATATGTAACTGCAGATTAAGCTACCCGAGCTACTTCAATGACCATAAAATTAGTTTTGACTAGGGTCATGAAAGGGGCAGGGTAACTCAGGCGTTCTTTTAAGTAGCGGACGTTCAGGAGGTTCACTGAGATGCATGGTGGCCAAAACTGGAGGTATGTTGGGCTGCTTTAGCAAAATAAGTCGCTTTATTCTTTGCTTTACTTTCTTCAAATGTGCCCATTGTAACGAAAGCAAAAAACAGAGAAAAATCCAAAGAATATACAACTTATAATCCAGGGTTCATAGACATTTGAAATGTTTTAGTTTCCTCACTTTATTTGCATCAGTTCAGGAGACACAAGCCGTTTATAGGCTCACCAAGGTTCGTATATAGAAGCACCAAGGGCAGGCGAGAGAATTTGACAATAAATCAAATTACCTATTTAACGAAATAACTTTAAGGTAGCTAAATGTGGCCTCATTAAGGCAAAAGCCTTGTTTTCGAAAGTTGGCCGTGTTATGTCATTAACCAAATTTGTAACCCGGCGCACATGGAATGTATTGACAAGATGTTTGGATTTCAGAAAAGAATAACAACAAATGCCGATGACAATGTACCCAAATTGACTGAATTCATGAAGCCTTTTGCGTTTTCCATTAGCATGGTCTACGTAAGGATACTTCTCGAAGATTTATCGCTTTCTTATAAATAGCATTATGCAGATGCATTCATAACTTAGACTTATTGCAAGAAATCGGCAAACGTCCATATGTTACGCAGTTGTTTCGAAAAATACTCGTGATTATTAAACACTATATTACTTTAGTTAGGAGAACCATCTACATGTATAATGATTATCTATATCAGTGATACTGCTAGATGCACAAGATTAAAGTTAAATTTACAGCATAAAGTTTAGCTGTACTTTTGGTTGTACAACGTAATCAGTCATGGTTCTAAAGGGAAAATGAGATGCTTGCTCTAGGCAACCGATACAATTTGAAGATAATCATTTTGTCACAGGGCCAAAAGATTCAACAGTAGAGATCAAGGCTTCAGGATTGCAGTAAAACAGATACAGAGTAAGTTTTATGGAGAAAAAAATTAATTTCTACAAGTACATGCATGGTTTGTTTTCATCATTTCATAACTGCTGTTTAATTTTCCGTCGAAGTCACCATTTAAGGCCCATTGTGGAGTAGGCCACTTGTTGTTTTCTTGGCCTAAAAAGGAACTTCTTATCTATCCCTCCATTTCTCGCTTTGCAGGGGGTGAAGAGAAAGAATTTTGCCTTTAGGTGTTTGTTCCAGATTGGTAACCGAAAACAAAGTACCCGGTTTTCAATTGAAGTGGAAAATGTAAACAAGCTTTTCCTTGACTGAAGTGCTAAACAAAAGTTTATATAGTGAGTTCCCACGCTCTTAAAGCTCATTCGCTGCAACGTAATTAACATGTTAATTTAACAAGTGGCTCTGTGTGATCTCGTATACACAGAGCGCTTGTTAGCTACGTGTTTTGTCTACTGGATTTCAGTCATCGTAACAATTTCATGCTATCACAAGTGTATTAAAATACCTCCTAAACCTAAAAAAAAAAAAAAAAAAAAAAAAATAGAATGGGAGCTTCATTTTAATCTAATGAAAACCAATTTTCATCTGAGGCCTTGTCATTAGAACATCCATCAAATAATATTTGTAACTTGTTTAACGAACCAGGAATCAAGAGCATTATTTCCTGTGTCTATTCCCAAAATTTAAATGCGAGGCATTTATGTTAAAGTCACGAGAATAAAAAGGGCCAAGGTATTGCATATTATTCCATGTTGGTATTGGAAATGAGTAATTTGTAAGTGAAAATTTACGACGTTCTCGAGAAAAATAATAATTCGCTTTACAGCTTCAAGTGTTAACTGGACCAAAGACACCGAACAAGAAAAAGAAAATAAGGGAGTTAGTACGATTTCATTTACGACGTCTAGTTGGCGTAAATAATGGAGGCAGCTTTAATTTCCCGCTGCTTAATTGAACACTAGACGTTAAATTGAAAAACCAAGTTTCACCACACGGCAAACAAAGGACACAGATGAGTGGGAAATTGGAAAAAAAAAAAAAAAAGATATATATATATATATGCATACAAATACATAACTGTCCCTTCAGTTCGACTTCCTTTCCGTGTCAATAAAGACGAAGGGAACATTTTATGTTGTAATCAGTTTGTAATTTATTACAAATTTTCTTACTAAGGTTAACACTGACATAGAATGCCTGTTCCAAGCAGGGTGAATAGTGCTAGAATTTACTAGGTTTCATTGAACAAGCAGATAACGTTAACGTTCAAAACATATTCAGGATAAACGAAAAAAAAAAAGCCCTTGTGTCCACCGATTTGATCAAGGATATAGGCCTACAGCTTTGTAACGATAATACTGGCTATCAACCACCACGTCATATAAAAACGTTTACCGCGGCCTGGACGAAGAACAGCTTCTGTTTGCAAAATTGGCTGTAATATACCTACAATCTGTAACTATGTTAAATTTACAGTTAGAGGTATGTCGAGCGATGATCTTCATTACATATGCCAACCTCTTCAAGCTTTTTACACCGGCATCTGCTAATTCACCTACATACAGCACAACCCGAGATCAGATCTGAAACATCTATCCCTCGGCATGAATAATAAATATCACTTTTAAGTTAATATTTACAACCATCCTCCAACTAAAATGAGCATACATACATACGTAACGTCAATTTGGCCTCGTGTGCACCAGGGCACGAAAGTTAGTGTGATGACTGAGTACTGTATTGTCGACGCTACAAATTTCTGCCTTTCTCCTTGGTTCTAATACTGGTTTCCGCAAAGCAAATTATTACTTTACTGTTCCTGAGAAAGAGTACTTTGCGCTGACGCTGGAAGTCCTTGGATGTTTTCTCCGTGATTTGTGAATGTGAACAGCGAACATAAATGTTTTTGTCATTTTGTTCCATTTTAATACTGTTTATAGTAGACAGAGACAAACTAGTGACAATGAGGAAGGCCATTCTGCATCTCAAGCATTAGCTTACGCCCTCTGGGACGGCGCCAGTTTGATTTATTAGCGTCTGGTAACCCATTTTGAAATCTGTCGCACCTTGGTACTGGTAAGGGAATTTATAACATTGAACTCCAACACTTTGCCTTTGACCTTTCCTCGGGCTATTGCCGATACTACACCAACGACGGCGTTTTCATCACCACTAGGAGTATCTACGTAAACTCCCGATCCGGAGACGCCTTTAGCACCATCACAGAAGTTGAGAATCATGTCATTCGATTTTCTGTACACCCGGCAGTACGTGTACCATAACGAGTTGTACCACTTATCACCGTGGAAGCCAGAAAACTGAATTTTTGAGCCGGGAAGGAGGCTGCTCGTCTGCACGGACATGTGCTGCCTGTTGTGCTGACGCTTGAGTTTCAAAACCGCAAAGTCGTATCTCAGCCTGTCTCTCGGCGGGGTCTGTGTCTTCCAATCTTTGGGCACATATGTTCTTTGCACGCGGATCCAGTGGAACTTTCCTGAACGTTGAAGCAAGCCTGAGAAATCAATGCGGAATCAATTTATGACGCGTAATTGACGTAGTAATTTGTTAACTACTCTGTTTTTACAAACCAAATCTTTCACTGATTTAATTAAGGACGCACAACTTTAGAACTGTTTTGCAGGTACACATCATACAATATCCAAGAATTAATTTACCAGTGTATATACAAGCAATTGTAAGAATGAAAGGTTCTTTAGAAAGCGTACTAGCGAGAATAATGTTTTAAGTGGCGCATGCAGCTGTCTGATTAATGGGTCTGAACACCGTTTTATTAATCGGATGTATCTTCAAAGGCTTTCGTTTTAGTCCAAGTTAACAAGGAACATCACTGAACAGACTTCAGATCCATTTGATATCATTTTCTTTAAATGATCGTGAGAATTTAAGCGGAAAGCGCGGAAAAAAAAGGCCTATTTATTTCAACGAAAATGATGTGTTGCAAAAGTGAATTAAATAAAGATGTACATTGCCATTAATCAGTGAAGTGAAGTGAAGTGAAAGACTTTATTTAATGAGAGTGACCCGTGACAGTAACTTAAGTTACTGATAAACTTGGGGCCCTCAGCTTAAAATAATTAGAATGCTAAAAATATATTATTTACAATAAAATGCTAAA